TTATAAAATAATATTTCTTTTTTCATAAAATAATATATTTGCGGCTAGTCTAAGACCACTGACTCTACCAAGCGCATGTTTGTCCCAACACATAGACCGGGCAGAGAAAAAATATTTTTTAAAACGAATTTTAGAAAAGCAAGTATCAAAGCTTAAAGTCTCACTTACCTCGCTAACAAGAAGTTTCTCAACCTTGCAACGTCTAAAACACCAACCAAACAACATTCAATGGCCTCAATCTATACAAAATATTGATAAACGATATCACTTAGTGGGGTCACAACTCAATCTTGTCTTTTCATAATGTCAGACTTAAAGCTAAATCTCAATGTTTACACCTCAAGTTATAAAGTTTTGAAGTGAAATTATATTCTAATACATCAATCTAAATATGATACTTAGCTTTAATTCTATAAATTAGTAAGGAATATCATTGATAATAATCAGACTAAAAGTCAAAACCTGTCTATATTAGATATTCAAAATTAGCTTAAAAGAAATTACGGTGCGATAGATTCCCAATTACTGCCGCATAGATAGGTGAGAATTAGCTTCGTTACCAAATTACGGTGCGATAATAATCCTAAGAGCCCATCATTACTAAATCGTTGAAACCTATCAATATAACTGAGATCACTTCATCTCAATTCCTTTGAGTACGTTGTTATGGTAAGAATTACAGATAAGCATACCTTTTAACTTGGCTTTCTCCACGAAGATTCCCATACAGTGATTGGTAATTGCAATCAAATAGTAGTCTAGCTTCTATGTATTCACGCCGACGTCACAACTTTTCAAATATTGTCCATTGATACTATTCTTTCTCGAAGAACCGGGCTATAAAAATATATTCCAATCCCTAAGTCCTAAACTTAGCAGCAGAAGGTATGGGCTTAGGGATTAGCATGTGTAAATATAAATTAGCCCATTAATCAATTATTTGGTACACTATCTTCTTTACTATGATAAATTTTCTTTCACTAGTTTAGTATTTGACACAATAGGTATAATAAAAATTAATTCTCCAATTTCACAATTAATAATATATAAAAGTATTCCGGGTTATTACAAGTCCTCCATTTAGCACCAAGGAATATAACACTATAGTAACACATGCCATTATCCATTGCACAAACTTGAAGGGAAAACAAAGATCAACAAGCATTCTTCTGATCAATCCCCATTCCAAAGTATCATAGGCTTTCCTCAAATCCACCTTCAGCACACATCTAGGAGAGATACCTTTTCTGGAGTATCCTTTAAACAACTCATGATCTAGTAGTATGTTATCAATAATACACCTCCCTTCAATGAATGCTGATAGGGAATATCCAACCAAACCATCAAGAACCATTTTGATTCTTCTAGTAATGACTTTAGAGACTTATACAATGTGATACAGCATGCAATAGGCCAATAGTCCATGACTGTTGATGGTGCTGGGACTTTAGGTACTAAGGTGATGGTTGTAGTATTGATCATTCCAGGCAGGCTACTGGTAGTAAAGAAGCTCTTAACAACTGCAAAGCTATCCTCCTTCACTATGTTCTAGTTTCTAGTAAAGAATTCCATGGGAAATCCATCAACACCTGGTGCTTTGTCTCTAGGCATCTCCCACACTACATCAGTGATTTCCTCATTAGTAACTTCCTGAATTAATTCTCTCTGTTGTGACACATTTAAGCACCTTGATTATAGTTGTATTTGCACAAGGCATTTCATTAGCACAATCTCCCATCAAGGACTTAAATACTCTGATGAATTCCTACTTAACTAGTTTTTGATCAGTTACCTTCATTCCTGTGTCAATATATATGGAGGTTATACTATTCTGGCTGGATATAACCTTCCATTGAGCATGGAAGTGTTTTGTATTGGCATCACCACACTCAATCTAACAGGCCCTGGACTTCTGCTTAGCACTTGTTCCTCAACATTGCTCCATTTATCAATGTCAGCCAGTGTGTCTTTCTCTAAATCAAACAGAATATGGGCTAAAGGATCCTTCTGAATCTGGTCCTAATATAATAACCAATCTCTCTCTTGCCTGCTTAAGTTTTTGTTTGTATGAAGCCATATAAGCATTAGAATCTTGCAGCTGCATCTTCATAGCCTTCAGCTTGCACCAGATCTGTTGCATAGATGTGCCATCATAATTCTAACTCCAAACATTTTGAATAATATTCTGGAATTGTAGAAGTTCCATTACATTTGTGTATAATCTAAATGGTTTAGGATGTAATAATTTCTGCCCACCACATTTGATTTGGATAGGGGAGTGATCAGAGACTGAAGGATTTAAGAAATCTGTCTCAACATGATCATATTGCTGTATCCACTGATAGTTTCCCAAAATCCAATCTATCTTGCTATATACTTTGAACCAGTGCCTTCTTTGTTTGTCCAAGTGAAATGCCATCCTTTAGCTCTAAGAGGAGTAAGCTGTAGAAAATCAATCACATCTTTGAATCGCTGTGTTTCAACAATGGTTACAAGGGACCCTATTCTATCTTCAGATAGAACATTGTTAAAATCTCCACTAAGCAGCCATGGCAGCTGAGCCTGCATATTTATATATTTAAGATCCCTCCATAAAGTCTCTCTTTAATGGTCATCATTCAGGGCATATATGATACTGAGATGTGTGGTAATTTGAGTTCTGGTATGCTCCACTAGACAATGGATGAATTGATCTGTAGTTTGAATAATCTGAAGTTGTATATGTGCTCTCCACAGAATCCAAATTCTACCATTTATAGCATAAGGATAATTGCAGTAAGCATTCCACCCCTGAGCAAATTTTTTTTTGTATTTTCTTAGGCTTATGTTCTTTTACTCTGGTTTCAATACACCCCATTATATCTACCTTATTTTTAGCCAGAAAGATTTTTACCTCCTTCTGCTTATGGGCCTGGTTCAAGCCCCTAATATTCCAAGTGGAAATGATCATTTAGGGTTGTGATTTGGAGAGCATGTTGGACCTGGATCCTCCTGTTTCCCTCCACTCCCATCATACCTTAGCTCAACAGCTGCCTTCCCTTTATAATTGCAGGTTAGCATTCCACTCACAAGATTGCAGCATGTGACATTCTGCAGGTTGACCCCTTCTTTGGTCTGACATGGCATAAGAGTATTTTGCTTTACAGTCTTTATACTCTTCCTAACCATCTCAGTGCAATCAGGATAATGAACAGGGTCTGCTTGCAAGGCTTCCGTCCTCTGTAGATCTGGCTCCGTTTTAGCATTCACTTCTGACTTTTTCACCAGCCATGTTTGCTTCACAGTCCTAGCTGTCTTCTTTACTCTTGTTCTCTTCCTTCTTGGCTTTCCCCTTTTCTGGTTATCCTCCTCTTCATTACAACTTTTATTGTGCCAGCAGTCAAAAGAATCATGATCAAATTTCAGACAGTCATTACAGAACATAGGCCTCTAATCATATTAAATAGTCTGCACCATTGGGCCAAAAGGTGATTCTATTTTCAGCTGGTCTGGAAGAGGATATGCATCATCCACCTCCACAAGAACCCTAGCATAGGATATCTTCTCATAATGAGCAGTGAATTTATCAGTGTATAGGGGCTTGCCTACCACACTGGCCATTTTTCTTAGAGCCTCAGTCAACCAATATCCTGCTGGTAGCCTAGGGAATCTCACCCAAACTGGCACTATGCTTAGTATGTCTTTGCTGAATGAGAAATCAATTTTCCATAGCCTTAGCACCATTGGTTTGTTCCTGTATGTATATGGCCCTAACTGGAGAACTTGGTCCTATCAGCTATGATGTGAAACTTGAAGATACAATATCCCTCAAATGAATTGGTATATGAGGTTTAGTAACAAAATTCCACACGTTCATAACAAAATTCTCTATAGCTTTTTCATAAGGATTCTCTCCTATTATGTACCCAGTTAAAGAGGTTTTTCAATATCTGCTTGAGATTGTAGATCTCCCTCGTTCAATTTGACAATTCGTTTACCATCTCTATCATTGGAGGAACAAAAGACAATAGTTTACCCATTTGTGAGTTGCGATTCCCTCGTACAATGTCAACCGCGGTAGGAGTTGGCTTTCCCTATTCACTCGCTTCAGAGTACTGTAACCGCTGAGCTGCATGTACCGTTGTTCTTTCTGCTTTGACATGTTGAAGTTGCACATCACCTTCAGAACTACTAGTTTCATGAACTTCCTCTATCGATTGGTAATTCTGTGGTAGAAAGCTCCCAAATGTGAGTGGTGGTAATTCCTTTTCTATGCCATTTGCTGGAGTGATTAACTTCCCTGACTGTATATTATGTCATGCACAGTTGAAAATTTAATATATCATAAAAAAAATTAATTTGAATTATCTTATTTAGCATAGTAATTAATTTAAAATATCTTATTTTTATGTTATTTTGCAAGACCTTCTTTTCTTTTGGCATTAATTTTTTCAAGATTTATGATTAAAACACAATTTAATAGGACATTTGATATATAGGAACTTGAATATGAAAATAACTTTAAAATACAAATAATATTATTAGTAATTATTTATTGCGAGTAGCACAAGTTTTCTTTCAGGTTATTTTCTTATAGAAAAAAAAAATAGACTGCCTCTTTGACACATTACATTTCATACTCTAAATCTAATTTTAAATTCAAGAAAGTATAATAATTGAGATTTACTACTTGTTGTTTAGTTTCAAAAGTTGTCTGCTAATAGAACATAGTTAGTGCTTGAATTTAGAGACGAACGATCTATGCGCAAAATAATGTTTAGGTTGAATTTAAAAATAAATGACTTATGCTGCAAAATGCAAACATTGCATCATCTTGTCTAAAGCCAGTAGGAAAGCACTGTTTAATAAAAAGCCAGTAGAAAAGCATAAAACAATAGACAGATGCAATAATCATTTTCTTTCTGCACTTCTTATAACAATAATCGCCCAACAAGAAAAAAATATAGATTTTCTGTTCGAAAGTTAAATACTTTAAATCTGTGACGACCCAAAATTCATTAGTCGTAATGGCACCTAACCCGACTCGCTAGGTTAGCTAACAGTCACATAATAACTATGAAATCGAATAACGTGGTTTAACAACTCAACAACAAAAAAATATCATGAAATATCTGAGAACACAACCATAAGACTGCAAACTTGGTGCCAACGAGTGCACGAGCACTATTGAATAACAAGATACAAGCAAAATCCTCTAATACAACTATCTGAACAATATAACAGTAAAGATAGAAATAACTGAAAGAGAACTTCAAGTACCGCGGACGACGTAACAACTACCTCCTAGTCTCCCAACAGCTAATAGCAACTCAACTCTGGAAATTCCCTCGACCGGATGTACCTGGATCTGCACACGAAGTGCAGAGTGTAATATGAGTACAACCAACCGCATGTACTCAATAAGTAACAATACTAACCTTGGGCTGTAAGCAGTGACGAGCTCAGAAACAATAGTCGAGCTTAGAAACAATAGTCAAATGCTAGTATCGATAACCAGTAACAGCTTAGAATATAAAGGGAAATGAGTAGAAACAAGTAGGTCAATCATATTATGTTCAACTTATTCACATTTCAGGAATTTAGACATGCTTTCAAGTATAACTGTTAAAGCCCAACACAGATAAAGCATTTCATTTACCAGTTAGCATGAGGAAAGTGCATCTCTATGCCTACATGCCATGTATACATGTCAAATAAATAATATCATAGTGGATCCATCAAAATATTCACACTTAGCACGGTACGGGTGCATGGCATAACTGCCCATCATCAAGCACGTATATTAAACACTGTGCCTGCGCCCATTGCTGGCATGTACGACTCCGGAGGGGCGGATCCTGCCCAAGCACTAATCATAATCATATAGCCCAATAGTGAGGCCTGGTGCACGCGTCGCCTCAAAACAATAACGCTTAGCCCAATGTGGTCTTGGCCGCGTCACCTCAAAATTAATACCAAATCGGCTCTATGGCCCAACTCAGTCATTTATCGTTCAAGTCTCAGATAACATATCTCACAATACTTAGTTTAACAGTGTTACACATAAGAGATATCAACAACATGTGGGGAATCAAATAAGAAATACTGAGACAGAGACATCATATACGGATATAATATCATGACTGAGAACATGTGTACAATTAAGGAAAATAGCTCATAAACGGCAAGAATAACCCTATTAAGTCTCAAACAAATAGCACATAGCCTAGACATGATATCTAACATGAATCATTGATCAAATAGCCAAACAAATAGGTAAAACACGGGTAGAATAAGGTATGATAATAAAACAATTTTCGATAATTGTCTAAAAGCCACCTCAAACCATGAACACATCGGTGCACGTACACACGCCCGTCACCTAGCGCGTACGTCAGCCCAATACCTTTCATATAATGTAGTTTCCAGGGTTAAATACCTTCAAATCCAAGTTTAGATGTGTTACTTACCTCAAAATGCGCAAATCAATACTCCAAAAAGCCCTTCCTCCGCTAATTGGCCTCCAAACGACTAGAATATAGTCACAAACAACTAAATATCAATAAATAATGCCGTAGGAAATAACTTCAAACAATAAAGCTTCAATCTTTATCAAAATCGAAAAGTCAACCCAAAAAGTTAACCCCAGGCCCGCTCCCCGAAACCTAGTCAAAGTCACAAATTCTAAATACTCATTCAATTATGAGTTCAACCATACCAATTTCATCCAATTCCACCTAGATTCGACCTTCAAATCCTCAATTTTCGCTTTAGGAAGTTTTAACTAAAATTCCTCGTTTCTTCACTTTAATTCACTAATTAAATGCTAAAACAAAGATGGAATCATGAAATAATAATAAATCCGAGTAAAAAGACTTACGCCGATCCAAATCTTGAAAATCCCCTCCAAATCACCCACAACCGAGCTCTCTAACTCCAAATCTTGAAAATCCCCTCCAAAATAACCCACAACCGAGCTCTCTAACTCAAAGTGTGATATAATAACTCTAACCCTCGAAATGGGATTTTAAACAGTCTGCCCAGTCATTTCCCTTCGCGAACGCGGAAGATGCCTCGCGTTCGGGAAGCACAAATCTCACCAGCTGCCAAATCCTCCTCCGCGAACGCGACATTCATATCATGAACGCGATGACCACATCACCCCATGCTACGCGAATGCAAAGGCCTAAGGCCTGATGCCCCCCAACCTACCTTCCTTCACCGCGAACGCTGCTCCGTGCTCGTGTTCGCGAAGGCCACAACCCCCAAAATATCACGATCACAATCTCCCGTTTGCAAACACGAAGAACGTCCCACCAGCTAAGCAAGAAGACCCTACACGAACGCGACCCCTGTGTCACGAACGCGAAGAAGCACACACCAGACACCAGCTCAGCTGTCCAAACATGATGAAAATGGTCCGAAACTCATCCGCAACACGCCCGAGGCCCCCGGGACCCCGTCCAATCACACCAATGTTGATACCCAATTTTTTCCTATATATATTTTAATATGCAAAATACCTTCAAAATATCATATGTATGCATATATAAGTATGTCCAAGTGTATCATTACTTTTCCTTATTTTTTAAAGGTTTTTGAATCAATTTATTCCCCTATTTTATCCATAAAAATCCAATAATTATTTTTTTTAAAATATTATTTTTTGGTGATTCACTTGTTGTACTTTTATATCTATGCTAAAAGGGAATTTTTGCATATTTTTTTACAAATTTATTTAGTATTTTTAAAAGCTAAATTGCATAATTGCAATATTAGCCTCTTTTAGGATTTAATTACGTTTACATTTACAAAAAATTAANTTTTCTTTATGTGACTTATCTAATATTACAATCCTTTAACTCGACTATGGCTGAAACCCTAACTTTTCAAAAGGTTTCCTCACCTGCTACTGTGAGACCTTTGCATGTTTCTAATACTCTATTTTCTGCACTGTTGATTCAATGTGACTTGACCTACTTTATTACTATGCTTCGAATGTTTGCTTTACTACTGAAACCTGGCTTATTTCTAGCACTACTGCATGCTTGTGATTATCTCTTCTGCCAATGTGCTTGGCCTCGCATGTCTGATGTCTTCTGTTCACTCTGTTTATATACTAAAGTGCAGAAGCATGTTTTTCTTTGACTGACCCTAATCGTGTGACTGATTTCAAAGCTTTTCCTTTATGAACCCTAATTTCACTCGCCTGTTTGGAATTGATTGATTCTTTTCCCTTTACTGTGATATTTTGCCTTACTGAATCTTTTCCAAAATAAGCATATTTCTGTACTTAGACTTGATTACTTACTTAATGCTTGTACTACTCTTTTTATGGCAATAATCAGTCTGTTTCTAAATTGATATCTTTCCTTATTTGAATCTGTTACTACCCGTTAAACAGTGATTTCTTAATTAAAGGGAATCACTTGTATAATTGATTCTGACTGTTGATTGTTTCCATATTTGTATTAAAACTTTACTTATTACCTCTCCTTCACTCGTTTTCAAAAGCTATAAATACCTTGCACTCCTCTTCTTTCAAACACGAACGAACCACTTGAGTTCAGAACACACACTTCACTCAAAATTCTCTCTCTTTTCTCTGTTACTACTTGTGTTGCTGCCTTGTCTAGCCCGGCTGAAAGCCAAGGCTAGGCTGTGGAAATTTGCTTACTTTTCTTTCTGCATTTGCTTCTTTACTGGTATGTTCTAATTAATCTTCAAGCATCAAAAAACATATGTTTTCTTTACTATTGCCTTCACTCTTGCCTGTTTCCTGCTTGTGTTTAATCAAGTTTCATTCCTAAAGCATGCTGTAAATCAATGTGTTCCTTTATGTATAAATACTCTGTCAGTCATTTGATTATGTGATTATGCCTTATGAATCCCAAACCCCCATATCCCATATGTGTTTGTATTCTCTGGTTGGTTTGAGGGCATGTCAGCATTAGACATTGTTGTGCATGACCCAAACCTGACCCTCCCTGGGGTCATATGCTTCATATCCCCTCTATGTGTTGTGTTCTTTGGCTGGTTTATGGGCATACCAGCGCCATCTATTGCTGTGCCTGCCCAAACCTGACCCTTCCTAAGGTCATATGCTCCCTGCAATGAATTCCCAAACCCCTGACCCCTTTGTATAAAAATGCTGATTCTGTGTAGTGTTAGCTTTACTACTACTATTTTCCAATCACCCTTACCCCTCTCTATTCTCCACTCAGTTTTAAATCTCTGTTTCTGCACTTCAATTATACTCTTAGACTTAGGTTCAGCCCCTCTTGTGTGAGCCTTGCCTTGGGACCCATGAGCTCCTTCTGAACTTGGACACATAAGGGCTGGCCCTTCCACACTGCACTCATCTCTATCTGGTTATGCAAACTTGGGTGTAAGCACTACCCGGGGTCCCTTGAGACCCTTAGGGAACTTTGACACACTCAAGTCTGAGAAAGGCTTTGAAACAAATGGCATTTGAGGTGGTTTATTCCATAACTCAGAGAGGAAGTCAAGAATCAGGCTTCCACTGGTTGTAATCCCTTTTTTTACACTTTTCTGATGTAATTCATTATTTGGTCTGTAATAAGTTGTAATAAATATTGGGGTTGGTTAGTGGAAAGGGCTGGGTAATTATGCATGCTTAACTATCAGAAGGGTAGAGAATATGCCTATGGGGCCTTTTTTTAGTTTGCATGTTTAACTCTGTATTTAGAGAACCTGTCTATAGGACATGTTTTAAATTCTGCATTAAAATAACATGCCTATAGGATTTGTCTTAAATTCTGCATGTTTATTACCACACTTAGACACCATGTTCTTAGGATCTAATTGGTTATAATCCGGCATCATGTCCAATAGATTAAAATCAGTACCTTTTCATAGAAATCATGCCTATAGGAATTTCAAGCAAATCCTGCCTCTTTCGTTTCACGTTCAACTAGATATCATGTCTATAGGAATTAAAATTAGCAATAGTAGATATCAATGTCTATAGAATCTGAAACCAGTCTAGTCTAAAATCAGTTCAAGTTATACTGTTCTGAACTAATTTTTAAAACAACTCTCTCTCTTCTTATTAATACGATTTAGAAAGCATGTCTATAGGATCTAAAATCGTTTATTTTAGAATTGTTACTGCTTTGCCACATTCTGAATCAGTAACAGGTATCATGTTTATAGGATCTCACCCAAACACTTAGGCAAGCCTTAGGTGACAACAAATAAAATTGAACCCGCCTTTGTTAATTAGTAACTGCTGCAACCGGCAGGCAGGCCTGATTCAGACTTCTTATCTGAGTTATGTAATAAACTGGTCTGCCTCAACAATTAAAACTCCCCTTGCCTTAGTACTTTAGATTCAGACCCTGACTGTGTTTAAGTCATGCTATTTATGTTCTTTGCTTTAGGAGGTATACATGAGCCTTTTAGTTGTTTACATGTTTCCCCCTTTATGTGCAGTCCTATGTGTTTTTGTATGTCGCCTTAGCTTTTTCACCTTTTGAAACCTAAAAGTCATCCTAATATCCCTCCCCTTTAGGAATAGTAGTCCTAAGTTCCTCCGGGACTGATAGGAATGGGACGGGTAATAGCATGCAATAGTGGTCGTGACCAATCCGCGCTTTAATACCTCAACGGGGTGGGAAGGGTAGATATGGATATGATGACCGGTGCGCTAATACCACGTGTAGCCCCTCTTTTGAGGAGTGATTACCGGGTATTGCATTGATGTGATCCATATTATAAATAAACCTAGGACCCCTTTTCTTTTCATTTGCCACTTCTTTTCAAAATCCGCCTTTTAATAATTGCTCTTTCGAATTTTATGTNTCTCAACTCTCTCTGAAACTCTTATAAACCCTAGCCGCCGCCATCAAACTACACCCTAATCCATGGCCTTCCGTGGTCATTTGAGACCTGTACCAGCTTTCCATGGCTTCTATGTGTTTGGTTCTGTGGTTTCATGACCAGAATTCGAAGGAGTTTGGTCCAGTCCTTGCTCGACTGGTGTTCATGGCCTTTCTCCGGCCAGCCACAACCTTTTTCGGCCATTTATGGCCTTTCGAGGCGGGTCCTTGACCTTTTCTGGTTAGATCGTTAACTTTCGAGATCTTTCTCGTTTCTTTTGGGTTTTCTAAAACCCTAATCTCTAAGATCTTTCGATTGCTTTCAGATCTACCTTAGATCTGTGCTTACCATGAACTTTTAAGCATTTTTTTCTCGAAAGTTCTTCAACATTGCTTTCAAAGCAACTCTTCATTGTTCTGATTAGGGTTTTCCTTTAAGTTATTTCAAAAATCTCTTCTCTGATTCTCGATGTTGTTTTATGACTTTACTATGAACTGTTTGTTATGCTTTCCTTCTACTTGAGTCAGCATGTTGAAAACCCTAATTTCTTTTGGGTCTCATTCGAATCCTGAAGCTGTTTGTTTAAATGTATACTTGTTTAACTAAGTTCCTCGTTCTTGTTTGACTTATTTGTGTTACCATTTTTTTTTAAAAAAAAAACTCGATTGTTGTTGAAAAGCCCTGGGTCT